CATGACTGATTTTGAAGGAAGGCTTGCTGCACTGTCCTGCATTGGCAGCCTCGTGGCTGGGGCAGGGTTGGACTCGAAAACCCCACTTACAGGGACTTTTCCATGACTCTTGTCAGTATCAGTGGTTCATAAAGTCCCGAGTTCGTATCCTGACTTTGGCATCTACTGTGACTTTGTAGCTTAGCCTTGCTGATCCTTGGTTTTCTCATCAGTAGAGTGGGAATGATTGCAGACGTACACCACACCACCTCGGGATTATGAGAGGATTAAATAAGATAATGCAAGTGGTAGGCTCAGCAGAGTTCCAGGCACTTGCTAAGTGCTCAATAGATTAGACTTGGATCACTTAAAAAATTTTTTTTGCCTAGTTTTGCATTTTATTTGTAATTCATGCTTATATTTATGGTGGTTTCTTCTAGTAATTCTAATGGCAGCTTCTAGCACTTGACCTTTCTATGAGGCCAAGATGAGGAGTCTGTGCCCCCAGAGAACCTTAAGGCCACAATAGAGATGGCACTGGGCACAGGTCATTGCCCCAACCCAGGGGGCATCCTAAAATGCTCACCCTCAGGTCAGCCAACCCTGTGGGCTGTGGCCCATCACAGCCAGGGAAAAGGGGCTTCCCCAGGCTCTCTTCCAGCCCCTAGGTGGTGGGAGGGGAGATGCTCAAAAACACTGGCACTAGGGCTCATCCAGGTTTGGGGGGTGGGGGGTGCTTCCCTGGTGAAAAGCAGGATTTTACAGGCCCTCAACAAAGTGCACATCCCTTCCTGCCTTAGGTCCCTGTAGGGTGTCCTCCTACAGCTCCCCTTCCCACTGGGTTACCTGACCCTCTCTACTTCCCAGCCTCCACATCTATCCTCTGCACAGACATGGCTTGAAGGATCTTCTGTCCCTCCTTCCTTTTCCCGACACCATTCTCATCCTTCCCGGACTGCTCTGGGTTCTCCTCCACCCCCCAAGGTGGAACAAAGTGTCACCCTGTGGTGCCAGCCTGTGGAGAAGTTTCCTGGACTGTCCTCACGTTATTCCCACCCTGGCCTTCCAGCTTCCGGGGGTGTGGATGGTGTGTCTGTCTCCCAGTGGTGGGGAAAGAAGGGCCCAGAGCCCCCTTTCCAAGGCTGAGGATAGCCAGGCACCGTTGGGAGGAGTGAGAGGTCTGGGCACTACTTCCAGGCACTCCTAGACCTGAACGGAAATCCCCGAACTCCAGGCCATGTGCTGCAGAATTTCAAGACTAACCTTGGAAGACAGGACCCTTTGGGTGCTACTCACCCTTTTTAAAGCATAATATTCAAAATGTTAGAAGTATGATTCTCATACAAATTATTACTGAGCGTGTGTTGAGGTTTTCTGTAACTTATTAATGAAGGAACCAGCAGAATGACAAAGCTGGTTCAAAGAAGGCTAAGAGAAACTGATATAGACAGTTGAGGAAAGAGTTGAGAAGAGAGAGAAGGAGGGAGGGAGGGAGAGAAAACAGGATATGTGAAAAATACTTGAATAAGATTGCCAAGTTAGACACAAAGCTAGTTAATGTCCATAGGACAATAAAATTGTAAGCTTTAGGGCTCATTTCTCTACCAAACAGAAGTTATTTATTTCTCCCAACAAAAATCATTTGCACCTTATCAGTTTTCTGCAAATTAGCACCTAACTTTATAGAGTCTGGCCCCAATTAGTAGCAAATATTAGTCAAAGTTTTTTCTCCTAGAGAATCAGCTAACTCTTAGGTGGCTTTGTCAGCGTAATACTCTGGAACAGTACTGTCCAATATAAATATGATGTAAGCCATTATACATTTGTCATTTAAAATTTTCTAGTAGCCACATTTTAAAAAACAAAACGAAACTGGTAAAATTAATTGTGATCATATATTTTATTTAACCCAAGATATCCAAAATATTATTTCAGCATGTAGTCAACACCAAAAAATTACTAATGAGATATTTTTACATTCCTTTTTTCCTAAGTGTTTGAAATTCAGTATGTATTTTATACCTACAGCAATTCAGACTAACCAAATCTCAAGTGCTCAGTGCCACTCGGGGCTGGTGGCTGCCATATTGGATAGTGCAGCTGTAAAGCAGTGGTTCTCAAACCTCAGGGTGCATCGGAATTACCTGGAGGGCTTATGAAAACACAGATGGCTGAGTCTCACCCCAGGAGTTTCTGATTCAGTGGTCTGCAGTGGGGCCTGAGATTCTGCATTTCCAGCAAGTTCCCAGGTGATGCTGCTGCTGCTGGTCTGGACACCACACTTTGAAAACCACTGTTCCAGAATGACTTTGAAAGGACTCACTGTCATCTTTTTGCCTTATTTTCAAGTTGTAGGTGATTTTGCTTAACAACCCTGAGACTGGTGGTAGGGCTGCAGGCTGTCTGCAGTGTTAGCATCGGCTTGGCCTGTGACTGGGTGGGTGCCGGCTGGTCACAGCCTCACCGACTACCATCTGGTGGTGGGTGAGATTTCAGCCACCCTTCTTCCACCACTGATGGCATTGACTGTGTGCAGCTCTGAGCTAGAGGCTCAGGGAGAAAGAAAAAGAGGACTGACCGTCAGTATCCCCCACAGAAGGCCCAGGCCTTGTGTGGCTGCTTTTTACTCAACACCACTCTGCAGATAATGCCAACGAGGCTCAGAAACTGAAATGTCCCAGGACAGGCCTGCATAGATGGAGGTACCGGCAGGGCCCTGAGGTTCTCAGAGAGGGGTGGTCTCCAAAGCCTAGAAGGGCCAGAAGAGGTTGGCCAGACAGGGAGTGAGGATTGGTGTGGACCCAAAGGACAGATGCAACCTGTACTGGGAAGGGAGGGGGTAGGAGACCTGCCAGGCAAGGGCTGCAGGAGGGGATGACAAGGGGGACCCTCCAGGGGGAGCCCGGATCCTGCAGGAAACAGCAGCCTGAGGCTTTGGGAGGCTGAAATGAAGACAGGATCGGAAGGGACCTCGGCAAGCATCAATTGCTACTCTCCTGGTTCATGAATAAGGAAGGATCCCAGAGATGTGAAAGGATTTACCCCAGGCCACACAGTGAGGCAGTGCCTGGAAAGCCCTCATCTCCAGCCACATCCCAGGGTTCTGCAGGTTTGGGAGTGGGGTTGGGTACAGAGGGCACGTGTGTGGTGTCTACACGAGTGTGCACTTTTGGGGGTCACATGAGGTGTCTGCGCCTCCAAATGCTCTGCGGGGGTGTATGGAAGGTCTACACTACATGAAAATATTCTTTGGGTGGTGTCCACTATGGATGAAAATGCGTGCCGATGTAACATCTCTATGGAAAGGGAACAAAAAACGGTTCCCAGAAGGGTGCCCATTGTGTGGGGGAATATGACAGGGGCTGAGGGGGTCACAGGCAGAGTGCAAGGGGAGATGCATCTCCAGGAAAGTGACTGCTGCCAGCTCCCAATGAGGGACGGCCCCCTTGGGACACCTCTGTCCAGGAGTGGTGCCCACCCCTCCCAGAACTTGGGGACCTCCTCTTTGGGGACTAAGCTTTCAGAGCTTGTAATAAATCTGATTTCATGTTCGTAGAGTTTGGAGGCAACTCTGATGAGTTAAATGGATATACATATCTGGAGTTCAAGACCAGGGGGCTGATAAACAGGCAGCTGCTGGAGGAGCTCATAGAGCGGCCCAGGAAGCTGTGCCATGTGCCAGGACCCCCACAGACTTTAGCCCAGCACACTACAGCTTTGCAAAGGGCATCTTCCCGGATACTCACAGAGTCCTGTAGGGGTGAAGGCAGATTACTGATAGTATCCTGAGTTCATGAAGAGTACAAATCCAGAGTATTATCCATGGTTACCTCACGGTGGGGTGGCAGGGCCAAGGCCTTACCATCCGCATCAACTGCCCGGAAGGACTGGAGGATCAAGTTCTCGTGTTTGTCTAAAAAGCAGTCACATCGCTGCATATACTGTGCTTTTTTCTAATTACCGTATGTGAAAAAGAAGGTATTCACCATGTAACTGTACGGTGTGTCTGACAGGTATACCATGTGTGTATGATGGCTACACGCTCTGTGTGGTTAGGTTTTTGCTATGTGTATGAGGGAGATCTGTTTGCGGGGGATGTGCCGGGGCAGGGAGTCTATTGTGTGTGAGAGGGATTTGTTGTAGGGGGAACCTCTACATACAGTACATTATATTTTACCGTAATGACGGTACAATATTTGTAATGACTGTATTCTGGGTAATCATATACAACATAAAAATGGTACACTAATGCATACACTCATATTCTTTCTGTGCATATACTATGTAGGATGGGCACACACTGTGCATGATGGTATAGATTCTGTGTGATTAGCATACCGCATGTGTGTGATGAGTCCAACCTGATGTGGAGTACATATTGTGTACGCCTCTGTGAAGGTATACCCTGAGTGTGGTAGGTCTACATTATGTGTGATGGGTGTATCTTGTGAGTAGTAGTATATAAGGCATATACAGTGTGGATATAATGGGTATACTGTTGTAAGTAAACATCTTGTGGCTGATAGGTGTACTCTGGGGGAAGGATACACTATGTGATATGGATGCCCTCTGTGTGTGATGGGCATATACTATGACAATCATACATGGTGTGGGTTAAGTTTACAGGTAAGTGGGAGTACCTGCTACATATGGCGTATATAATAATTCATGAGTACTAGGTATATATAGTATATATAATGGATGTATTCTCTAGGATGAATATACTGTGTATAGATGTGATGAGTATATACTTTGTGAGATAATTAAGCACTGTGTGATCTGTACACTGTGGAGGTGGGGGATTTTCTGTATAGGGAAGTTGTCGTTGGGACAGGTCTACTGAATGTGTCACATGTACCCTGTGTGTGTGCAGCTTAGGATGGGAATATGGGGTATGTGCCTCGTGTGAGCAGGCAGAGGGGAAGTTACCCTGCTGGGAGAGGGCGTGGCAGGAAGCAGTTGGATCTTGATCTGTTTCTAGAACCCCCAGACCCTTGAGCCCACCGACCACACTGTTTCAGGTTCTTCCTCAAGTTCTTCCTCAAATGCAACCAGAACTGCCTAAAGAACGCGGGGAATCCCCGAGACATGCGCCGCTTCCAGGTGGGTCTGAGGAGAGTTCTCCCCTGCAAACCTGCCCTATCCTGATGGGGCAGCCAGGGAGGCTGTGGCCCTGCCACCCTGAGAAAGGCCCCAGGGACAGACCCCTGCACAGACCAGTGCTTTGGAGCCTGGTGCTTGCTGGGGGTGGGGCAGCTCTGTCTCAACTTAAGCTGGCTGCCAAGGGAGGCTTCATTAGAGTCCCACTTAAGGAGATGCTAATTGTGACATTTTTACATGATTAACAACCCAGCTAATTTGCATAGCGTGAAGCAGAGAGCAGCTGCCCTTAGCACATCCCCAACCTGCACACCCCGCCCAGTGAAGGGTAGGGGGGAGAAGGAGGTAGCCCCAATTTCCTCCCAAGAGCGGGGGCTCCTGCTGATGGGCTCTCAGGCCAATGCTCCCCCTCCATCAAAACACTCACTCCCATTCCTGCCTTGGAGCGGTAGGGGTACAGCCTGTGGTACATGTGGGTGCAAAAACAGTAGCCACTCTGCCCAAGGAGTCAGAGATTTTCCTTCAGGGCTTTTGATTTTTCTAGCTCCTGGAGATCAGTTCCCCTGGGCAGCCAGAGATTGTGCATTTGAGGGTGTCACCTAACCCAGTTGGTCCCCCTCCCACCAACTCAGCTCCAGAGGGGCTGAAGCTCTTCCCCATGCCAGTGACCCTGAACTACAGTATCCAGCCACCGGCCTCAAGTTGCCAGTGCCCCCCAGCAGTCCCTTACTGGAAACCCCAGCCAGGCTGGCCTTGGCTCTCCCCACAGGTGGTGGTATCCACAACGGTGAGCGTGGATGGACACGTGCTGGCCGTGTCCGACAACATGTTTGTGCACAACAACTCCAAGCATGGCCGCAGGGCGCGCCGCCTGGACCCCTCCGAAGGTCAGGACCCCCAGGCCAGCCCCGGCTGCCGCGGGCCCAGCCAGCCCCAGTCCCCACCTTGGCATGGGCCCCTGACCTGGCTCCTCTCCTGCCTCCCAGCTGCCACCCCCTGCATCAAGGCCATCAGTCCTGGGGAGGGCTGGACCACGGGCGGCGCCACCGTCATTGTCATCGGCGACAACTTCTTCGACGGGTTGCAGGTCGTGTTTGGGAACGTGCTCGTGTGGAGTGAGGTGGGCCGCTCCCGCCGGTCTCCCTCCCAGCCTGGGGCTGGACCCTGCCCTCGCCGGGTCAGAACCCGCAGGCCTCCCCTCTCCCCTCGCAGCTCATCACGCCCCACGCCATACGGGTGCAGACGCCCCCACGGCACATCCCTGGGGTGGTGGAGGTGACCCTGTCCTACAAGTCCAAGCAATTTTGCAAGGGAGCCCCCGGCCGCTTTGTCTACACAGGTAAGGAGTCAGGGGGCTGAAGGGAGGCCCAGGGTTGTGGGATGGAGCCCCACGCCGCACACACCAGCCCTGGTGTAGGAGTCAGCGAATAGCCAGGCCCCCTAAGCCCCTGCTGGCACTCACCCCACATCCCAGGACACCTCCTCTCCGGACCTTCTTTCCCTGTGCTTCTGTTTCCTTCCCTGGCCTCCACGTCCTCAGACGCCCTGCCCGGACATTCTCTCTGCCTCCGGCATTCTCCAGAGCAACTCCCCCCACCCCCTTCACCTTCTGCACTCCCCAGTGTCTAGAACATCTCCACAGGGAGATTTATTTCAAAGATGCCCCCAAATAGCTTGCTGCTCCCCAAATCTTCCCGGTTGTCTTGGTTCCCCCAAGCCACCGCAGGCTTCACGTTGCATGCACATGAACACACATACACACACACCTTGCATGAAGCCAGGGCGAGAAGTTAACACGAGACAGGAGTGTAAGCTACTCCTGAAGATGTGGCTTCATCCCCCTTCCCAGGTCTATCTGACCACTGGCCCGTATCCTCTCCACCTCCACCATCTGGCACTTTTCCCCATTCCCCCACCCCACCTAACAGACATTCACCAAGCCCTTCAAGGGGCACTGGACACTCAGTAGTGACCCTACTTACTGTCGGGGAGCTCCAGTGTAAGAGTGAGGGGGGAACACAGGGAACACAGCATGAGGTGGGTAGAGTTACACAATAGAGGAGCTAGTGGTTGTCAGAGAAAACCTCCAGGCACGAGTGTGGACTAAACTGCTAAGCTGGAACCAGAGGGGTGAATAAGGAGGTAGAGATGAGGAGGAAAAGGCATCCCCGGAGAAGGAATGGCAAGTACGAAGACCGGTGAAGGAGTGCCTTACGTTTTAGGGGAAACTAAAGGAAATTCACTAAATCTAGAGTTGGAGGTGGAGAAGGTAGGTAGGGCTTTGAGGCTGGTCAGATAGGTCGGGGCCAGGCTACAGGAGGAGGTGAGGAGGAGGAGGAGGGCTTCAGGAGCCAGGTCAGGAGGCTGCAGCGTCCTCCCCAGAGCCCTGGGTGTGGGGCAGCCCACTCCTGGGACACAGGCATACCCTTAACGGTCAGGTGCCGCTGAGAGGCCACCAGAGCTGTGATACATGAAGACTGTTGGGTATTTTTTTTCTTTTTTTATAATAAATAATTCACTCCTGATAAGACCAAATGCAGACAAAACTTTCCAGTCCTGCCCCTAGGAATACTGAAGCTAATATATACACAGTTGCCTTTTTTCTAATCACAAATGGGATCGTATAGTGCATGTGTGTTAATGCCAAGCAGCTGGCACAGGGCCTGGCTCAGTAAACATTTGTTGAATGAATGAGCAAGAAAGGAACTGAGGAAACTTCCCGAGCCTCGCTGACCCGAGTGCCCGGAGTTTTCCGAGAGGCTTGGGCTGGCCTTGGAGGAGGTCTGCAGCAAGGCTCCTGGACTGGTTGCTGGCGGGCTTGGCCCTGCTCTGGGGCCGTGCCTGGAGGGGCGTCCTCCAAACACCGCCCCTCTCCCCAGCCCTGAATGAGCCCACCATTGACTACGGATTCCAGAGGCTACAGAAAGTCATTCCCAGACACCCCGGAGACCCCGAGAGGCTGCCCAAGGTACTCAGAGGAGCGGGGCGGGGAGAAGGGTGTCCGGTGGCCGAGGGGAGAAGAGGCGGCTCCCGGCCCCTCTGCCGCCCCCGGGGCCGCCCCTCCGTCCGGCTGTTTTCCTCCTTGCCCCCAGGAAGTGCTGCTGAAGCGGGCGGCCGACTTGGCGGAGGCCCTGTACGGAGTGCCCGGCGGCAACCAGGTATGGCGCCTCCGCCCGCCTCCCCGCGCCGGGCCCGGGGCTGCCCGCTTCCCGGTGCCCGCGGCTGCCCCGGCCGTGCCCGCTCTTGTCTTCGCAGGAGCTCCTCCTGAAGCGCGCAGCAGACGTGGCCGAGGCTCTGTACAGCGCCCCCCGCGCGCCCGCGCCGCTCGGGCCCCTGGCCCCCAGCCACCCGCACCCCGCCGTCGTGGGCATCAACGCCTTCAGCAGCCCGCTGGCCATTGCCGTCGGGGACGCCACGCCAGGGCCGGAGCCGGGTGCGTCCCGCCGCCCTCGCCCTCCCAGCCGCCGGCGCAACTCGGACTGCCCCTTCCCTGCCGGCGCGCGCCCCTGACGGCCGCTCTCCCGCAGGCTACGCGCGCAGCTGCGGCAGTGCGTCCCCCCGCGGGTTCGCGCCCAGCCCGGGCTCGCAGCAGAGTGGCTACGGCGGCGGCCTCGGAGCTGGCCTCGGCGGCTACGGGGCGCCGGGCGTGGCTGGCCTCGGTGTGCCCGCGTCCCCCAGCTTCCTCAATGGCTCCACGGCCACATCGCCCTTCGCCAGTGAGTGTCCCCTGCCTCCCGGGGAGTGGGGGAGGGACCAGGCCCCGGGGAGCAGAATGGGGCTCAGCCCAGCTCCATCCTAGCCTATGAGGGGTGGGGGGAGCTCCTGTCACCTGTCGCATGAGCACCGACCCTGGCCTTGCCCTCAGAGGCAAGGGCAGCCCTCTCTGTGTTCGACCTCTCTGTGCCTTTGGAGACCCAGCCCTCAACCCCGGAGCCGGGGCACTTCTTGCACTTTTAGTTCTCTTTGCTGACAGCAGTTGTGCACATCGCTTCTAGCCTTCCCCTCCTACTGAAACGAGCTTTAACACGGGGACATCCTGCTTAAACCTAGTGGACCGCCAACCTTTCCAATCTTATGCCAGGACTTCAGGAGGAGGGCTGGTGCCCCCTGCCGGAAGCCCAAGGGAACTCAGGGCCCAAGAAAAGTAGGTTTCCACCTGGCCCCACGCCCCCCAGGAGAGGCAGGGGCCTGAGGAGGGAAGACGTGGCTCCCAGCAATCTGGTTGGGCAGAGCCAGAATTCTGTGTAGTCAGACACCTGGACTCACAGTTTGTCCAAATCAGGAGCTGTCTGACATTCAGTTTCCTCTCTGTAAAACCAGATCAGTACCACCTGTTGCCTAGGGTTGTTCTCAGACCTGAATGTGCCACTGTGCATAAAGGGCCCAGACGCAGTTCAGAAAGAGTGTGTGAATTTACATCCCAGCACTGGCTGTGGGCATTAGCCGTCTTCTGTCTGGCTTCTTGGGGTGGGCAGCTCAGAGCTGGGTGGATGGGCGACAGGGCGTTTATGCTTTTACCATGCACTGCCCTCGAGTCCCTCCTTCCAACAGCAAATTCCAGAACAGCCTGTCTGCAGGTTCTTATAGCTTAGCTATTCAGCAGACATGTTTTTAAAGCACCCAGCTTGGGGGATGGCTCCACCCCTGCTCACCTACAAGGAGCCTCCCCCATCAATTGTAAGAGAGATTGCACCTTGAGTCCTGGGAGACGCTGTTGTGCCAGAGGAATGGGGAAGGCTGGCCAAGAAGGCTTTTCCTGCCATTCCTTCCCCTGTCCCCTGTCATATGTTTGCTATTGATGAAGACCAACATATCTGGCACCTGCCTAGCCTTCCTTCCCATGGCCTACATCCTGAGTACTGCTCTTTTTGGCTGTAGGTTTGAGTCTGGCTCTCTACCTCTGGCCTGGGCTCAGTGTTTGGGACCAGAAGCCCCGTGTTGCTGGTGTCCACACAGACCATGACCCTCCGGTGTCCCCACCAAGACTCCCGTCTCCCCTTTGCTCAGGGCAGGCTCCACTGCTCCTACTTCCCTTCAGTTCTGGACAGTATTCTTACCACCTCTCTCAGGGTGCCCCCCCAGGTCGAAGCTGGTGGAGTTTGGAACACCAGCCCCCCTTCTCCGCCGCACACACAGTGCAGTCAGCAGTGGAGGAACACACTGCCCCAGTGGGCAAAAGTCAGCCACCCGGGGTCTTCCCATTCAGCCAGGAGATCAAGAATTCTACAGCTGCTTAAGCCTCACTCCAGCATCAACTGGGGACACCCTGGGCTGGCCTAAGGGTCAGTCCCATCTGGTGGGATTGCCCTGTCCAGTCCCCATCCACTCCCCCTTGTGCACGACGCTTTGTGGTGAAGCTCCAGTGGGCATCATTCTCATTGAGTTTGCCAGGACGTGCCTGTAATGACCTCCGGAACTGTCCCTGCCAGAGGCTGTCTGCTCGGACCTCCCCTCTGTCTTCTGCTTCAGCCGCCAGCAGCCCTGGACTGAACCACATCTCCCAGTACTACCCAAGCTACAAAATGCGGCTGTGAGCTCTGGGCCTTGAGAGATACAGTACATTTTCTGGCATTTATTTCAAGCCCTCCATGGAGCTCCATGGGCCTCATGAGCTAGCAGTCAGCATTGTCTTAAAAGGAGACGGTGATCCATGGGGTCGAGTACATTTGGAACAGGGGCAGCTGTTGAAGGCATCACTGTTCCAAAGGGGGTGGGTGGGGGGTGTTCTGATACCAAAAGCATCTTTCTCAGGCTGCTGGTTTCTTTCAGGAAACCCCCACCCTCATCCCATTGCCCGCTGCCTGGACAACACTCAAATCACAGACTTATTGGTCTTTAGAAGAGAGAGGCAGGGAATTATGTTCAGATGAGGTTGTAGAAAGGGGAATCCAGAGATGGCCTGGGCAGGAGCCCCCAGGAGAGGAAGTTGCAAGAAAGGGGCAGGCGAAGGCTGTGTGCAGGAGGCTCCCTGGCTGTTCCCAGGAGAGCAAGCCACAGCCATGGGGGCTAGGGGGTTAGGGAACAGGAAGATCTGAGGATTTGGATCTCTGTACCTTTCTTTAAAATTGACCTGCTGGAAGAGGGAGATACAGGAGGCCTCCAGGACCAGGGCTGAATGTGATGAGGACCTGCATTAAGCTGGAAGAGAACAAAGTTTCGGGGGTTGGGGGCAGTGTAATTGGTAAGGGGAACATATTTGTGGGGGGAGTAAGGGTTCTTGTGTGAGCTGTGATCCTGGACAGAGGGGCCTTATAACAAGAGCCTATGTGTACCCCCCAAACTTCGTCCCTGGCCACTTGCCCCAGCTCTGCTATGAACCCTGACCTTTGACTCTAACCTTGATGCCCCAGGGCCCGTCAGTGTTTCTTAGTGTCTCAGAATTCCAGTGGTTTTCAGCAGGAATCCTAACCTGTTCCATTTCTTGCTCATGCCTCATCTTTGCGGGCACCTCTCAGTATCTGGTTTTGTTGGATGTTCTGGTTTTGCTTTCGTTTTTTGGGTTTTGTTTGTTTGTTTGTTTTTAACCTCATCTGGCCCTATCATCTCCAATGCTAAGAAAGGGTCTCCAGAACCCCCAAAAGGGCAAATGCTAGCCTGCAACCCCAGAGGCTCCCAGCCTGCCTCCAGACTCTACCCTGTACTGGTCTCCCCAGGACCCTCACAGCCCCCAGTGTGGGCTGAGCCTGGCACCCAGATCAGCAGCCCACACAGGGCATACTTCTCATGCCAGGGCAGCAACCGAGCTGCTCACTCTGGTGCTGTCTCCCTGTTGTGTCTCCCACCGCCTTCCCTGCTGCGCCTGCCCCTCCCCGCCCTGGAGTCATGCCCTCTAGCCCCCCGCTGGCCACTGCCTCCTCTATGTCCCTCCCGGCGGCTGCCCCCACCACCAGCGTCTTCTCCTTCTCGCCTGTCAACATGATCTCCGCTGTCAAACAGAGGAGTGCTTTCGCCCCCGTGCTGCGCCCACCCAGCTCCCCAGCCCAGGCCTGCCCCAGAGCCCATGGAGAGGGGCTTCCAGGTGAGTGCTCCGTGCTGCCTCGCTGGAACCTGGCAGAGCAGCTGGGCCTGCGCAGCCCACTCCATCCACATCTCACAAGAGCTTCAAGCCAGGTGACCAGTTCTCCCTGGGGGTTGCAGAGGAGGGAGCTCCACAGGGGTTCAAGGAGGTCCATCTGGACCCCACTTCCCTGGGCCTCATAGCTTGGTACGGTCTCACTCTGGACCATCAAGGAGACAAGAATACCAGTTGGAGAAGGTCTGGAAACCACTTCGAGGCCTCATCCAGTTGAGCCCAGAGTAAAGACCCAACATGCAGAGCTGGAAAAACCCCACCGTGGGCTGCGTGCCTTTGACATGTACCTCCCTATGTCCACTGGAGGATAGCATACACCACTGTGAGAGACCAGGTCACTTGCTGGATGGAGGGGGACTGACCTTAGATAAGGTTTAGCCCAGCTTCTCCTTCCCCATTTTACAGATAGGGAATTGAGACCAGGTCACCCCTCCTGCAGCCCATTAGTGAAATGATTGTTATTTGCCATTTATCAATCTCCTCCAAGTCAACATCCAACTTAAAGCCTGGGTTCTGACCAGTAGTGTATATAGCAAGTCAAAAAGAGTTGCATCCCTTAGAATAAGATGATTCTTGGGGTGGGCTTGTTAGGTGATGCTCTAGGATAACTCAAAGTGGAACACAGTTATATTTAGCCTTGTTTCCAAGTTTTGGATAATTTTTCTTAAACTAAGTGTGTCTGGATCTTAAAATGCAGGGAATAGGAAGGACAGAAGGCCACCAGTTTCTCCTGCAGCAAACCATGGGAAGGGGGTTAGAAAGAGGCAAGGGTTATGGAAGTGATGAATTTCGTGGGGGTGTGGGAGGAAGACATGCTGCTACCGCTGCATTAGGTATCTGTACTCCTGGAGGCTGACCTCTTCCCTTTGCTGTCCTGATACATGGCCGTCTGCTTCCTCACCTTGAGACAGGCCCTCTGAAGGAGACAGGCTGGGAAGAAGAGCCCAGAGTCATGTCTCTCGATTGAAGAAACTAGGAGGTCAAGGGCTTGGGGCTGTACCTCCTAAGAGGTCTGGGGGGCACACCTCACCTAACTGTCTGCAGTGCTGGGCCTAGGCTAGGACTGGGGGTGGCTGACTACCTTCAAGGCTCTTGATAGTTCTGCCCTCAAAAAGTGCCATATGTCCTGCATGCTGCCCCCAGTCGAGAGGGGCACAGGCTACACATGGCTTATGGCTCCCCTGCTTGGTTACTGCAGACCAGCCTTTTGAAGATTCTGACAAGTTCCACTCTCCAGCTCGGGGGCTTCAGGGCCTGGCGTACTCCTAATTATGGTAGGTCTCTGGCTGAGTCTTGCTTCCCTTCCTGACCTTGGATGGGCTCTCTCCGAAAGCCTTTAGCAGGGATGGGGAGTTGGGGTCCATGTCTCCCTCCAGGGCCCATCTAGACAGCTGTCTGGGCCACATAGCCCAGCCCAGTGGCCCAGGCTGAACAAGAGGCGAGAAGTGGCTTCCTGTCCCCTTGCAGCCAGCCTTCCTACAGGACCTTCGTCTTTTCCTCTCCCCACCAGGTCTACAGGTGTCCCCACTGAGCCCGGACTAGTGGTCCCTCCAGGATTCACGCCCATGCCCTGGATGGCAGCACAGACAGATGCAGGGACAGGGCTGCAGGCAGACCTCAACCCACAGGCCTGAACAGGGAGAGGCCTTCCTCCCTGTGCTCAAGGGCTCCTCAGTCCCACAGGTTTCTCTCACCTCCCTTGAGGCTGGTTGGAAGCCCCAGCACTGTGCTGATGCTCTTGTTAGGAGAGCATCCCGTGGAGGTGCTGGATGCCCGACCTCACTTGCTGGGTCGGTTCCTCTGGAAGAGATGGACCTTTTGCAGACCAAGGGCATCTGGTGACAGGAGCATGGGATGGGGAGTATGATAAGGAGCTCAGGGAGAGGTGGCCTGGGGATGTCCTGTTTGCGTCTGACCCATCTCAACCATCCCAGCATCCCAGCTACTCTCCAGGACAAGGGGTGGTGCCCAGCAGCCTCAGGAGGCCTGCCTAGGCTCCCATGGAGCTTCTGACAGCCACTTGATTCTGTGGCTGCCCCACTTCCTTTGAGTCCTGAGCACTCACGCTTGCCACATCATGAATCCCGGTGGGGGCTTTGGGCATGAAGGGTGCAGAAGAGGAGGTGCCAGGCCCCCTGGTTGTGGATCTTGCCCTCAATGGATGTCTCATGGACTCTGGCCCCACACACAGATGACTGGCTGGCCCCATAGAACCATGGAACGAGTCCAGCTGCCCCTGGTCTCATACTCTGCTCTGCTGAGGTTGGAGAAAACAATAAACACAGGTGCAGGTGGCCACCCAGCCTCTCTTGTCTGCTTCCTTGGTGTGGGTCTGCCTTTCTCAGCAGCTCTGCAACTCTGAACCATGTCCCTGGGCAGCCTTCTTATACCTTGGACTTTTTCAACAGCATCAGAGTTCAACTGAGCAAGTATTCCCTGCCCCATATCTGCTCTTGGGTACTGAGTTGGGGGGTTTGGGGAGGGGTGGGAAGACCCAGGACACGGGCTCAGCCCTGAGAACTCTGGCTGGGAGCCCATTCTGGGCACTGAGGACTCAGTCCCCCAGCTGTCTGAGCAGGACCAAAGTTGGGGGTGTCAGAAGGACATTGCTGGGAACCAGAACAGAGCCAACTAAATACTACCCAGATGTACAGAGGCTCAGGAGTGAAATCCTTCTTGACTGGAGGCTGCTGGGTGGGGCAAATTTTGGCTCCTAGGATTGCGTGATTAAGTGACACCCCAAACCTCCTCCCTCCTTCCCAGGCCTAGGCACTTTCCATCTCTCCTGTCTCAGAGTTTGGGAGGATGGGTGGTAGAAAGGCAAGATTCCTAGGCTCAGCTACCCAACTTCTAGGATGAATCCCAGTTATCCCCCTGAAACGTGTTGCCTAGACCCCAAAGGTCTAGCTTTCTGACACTGGAAGCCACTTTTTTGATGCACTGTCCAGAGATCCCAGGGTCCAACTCCAGGCCTCAAGCTTCCTTTTCTCTCCTCCCGACAGCAGTCCTTTGCTCTGACCTCTGGAAACCTGTCCTTCCCCAACCCATGAGCCCATGCCTTGCAGCCCTCTGGACAAATAATACTTGCCAAGGCAGATAGGCTGGCCCTGTCCTTTAGAGTCCTCCACTTTCCTCTCTTGTGTTCCTGCCAATACCTGGGATTCATCTCACCGGGGCCTGTGATGAGATAGCCTCCTACCTAAGAATCCTGCTTTATTCTCAGTGCTCGCCTGGCCTCCCCTCAGTTCCTGCCTTCAGCCTGTGTTGCAGAGCCCCAAAGCCTGCCAGCCATGCCCTGCTCCATTCAGGCTCCGAGCAGTTTCCACGGTCCAGGGCCCTCCCAGGTTGATAATCTGCTGAGCTCTAATCTGTACCAGATGCAGGTTATTACCGGTTCCTGGAATGGGTCAGGTGCCGTGGTTGGTATAAGTAAGGTCCTAGCCTAGTGACAGTCCTGAGGCCTTGTAGACAAGACAGGATTGATTGGTTCATGGGGACTGACCCCTGCAGGTGCTGGACATCCCAGGCCAGTGGTGGAGGTTCTAACCTTGCCCCAGTGCCTACGTTCATATCAGTCAGAGTGGCATCATGCACCCGGAATGGAGGTCGTCTTCGTGTGGATTCCCCCAGGAGCAGAGCCTGAGACAAAGATTTGTGCTCAGAGGGTTTATTTGGGAGGCAATCTCAGGAAGCACCAGTGAGGGAGGGGGGAAGGGAGGCAGGGAGAGTAAGGAAGCCCAATACAGTGTGCTTGTGAGCAAGTCGCTCCTGTGAGTTTTCTGGAGCTTAATCCCACCAGGGAACTCTGGGAAACTGTATAAAACACACGCCTCAGAGATTTCCCACCTGAGGGGCGAGGGAGCTTGTGTACTTACTTATACACCGACTTCTGTCAGTCAGTGATCAGAAGCTTCCGGGGGCAGCAGGAGGGGAGCACCACCTTCCTGGAACTTCTAGGTGGCGTCGCAGGTGGTAACAGGCCCCAGAAGCTAGAGAAAGTTCTCAGGGGAAGAGATGCAGTGCTGGCAGATGGGGTCAGACAGGTGTACACTGAAGAGGTAAAGATGAGGGGGTCTGGATGGGGCAGAACAGTGTGTACTGGAGGTGGCCCCGGGCCGTCAGCCTGTGGAAGAGGAAGTTTTTCCTAGTTGAAGTAAGTATGAATTTTTCGTCATCTGTAGGTCCTGCCTTTCCTGGGACCAGGTGACAGAAATTCTGTTCAGACTGTTTCTAGTTGAGGTACCAAGATGCCAGGTGACAAAGGGGCCCTTCCCAGCATCAGCCTACTGCCAGGCTTTCTTTCCACAGGGCCGATGGGGTGGAAGTAAGATGGGGGTCAGATACTTGGTTGCTTGACCTTTAGAGAGAGAGCATCTCCCAGGAAATCCTCTGCTTCCTTCCCACATATGTTTCCCAGCAGAACCAGGCTGCTGTGCCCTGCATCCTCAAGCAGCCTCTGGGGCTGTACTTGGCTCAGACAGGACCCACTGTGGACAGGTCTCACTGACTCAAGGGAAGCCCAGCAGCAGCTTTGACCAGCCCTACTGCTGACTGTTTTGCAAAACGTCCTCATTCTTCCCATTCCTGCCCTTATTGGCAGGGCCCTTATTTTTTTCCAAAAAGAAAAATCTCCCAGGGAACTCTTTGGTGGTCCAGCTCTTTCACTGCCGTGGCCTGGGTTCAATCCCTGGTTGGGGAACTAAGATCCCACAAGCCACACGGTGCAGCCAAAAACAAAGAAAAAGAAAAATCTCCCAGAGAAGTGGAAACTGCTATGCAGTGCAGAAAGGATGGTCTTTTCAATAAATGGCATTAGGTCAATAATGGATATTCATAAGATATCCATTATATCATATTCATATCATATGGATATTCATAAGACAAAATGAAACTTGACCTCTACCACATACCGTTCACAAAAATCAGTTAAGATGGATTGTGGACCTAAATGTGAAAGTTAAAAAAATAAAGCCTCATGCCCTTGAAGATAAACTAGTAGTTGTTTGCCAGAGTAACCTCTAAAGTCTATTTCCCCCGCCATATGGTCAACTTAGAATGAGGCAAGCATTAAACATGGTTGAGGTGGTTCAAGTGGACCCCCAAATCTCTTTTCTCTTCCCGAGGATGATTTCTCCAAATAGGAAAAAATTCACAGATCACACACAGTGTCTTTGTCCCCTAGAAGAGCCAGGCTCTTCAGTGATTCTCAGAAGCTCCTCGCTCTTGCACCTGGGCCGGCCACCCTCCCCTCCCTGTCCACACCTTTGCACGTATACCCACAAGCTTCCTTCCTCTGCTGCTATTCCAGTACACGGTAACAACACCCTTTGGGTGACCGAAGGGCATGAGCCACCTTGAAGCCACCAGCTTTGAAGTCTGGTGTTCATAAGAACACCACACCAGACAAGCTCTCTCTCACCAACCCCAACATGAGAGCCCTCCTATCACTTGTTTCACACTCCCTTGCTCTTCACTCTCATTAAGGGATTTTTTGATAACTAGAATTTCTTAGTTGAATGTAGTCTAAGTTATCAATCTTTTCTTTATGGTTAATGTTTCTTGTATCCTTTTTAGAAATCTTCACCTACCCCCAAATCAAGAAGATATTTTTTATGTAGCTATAATTTATTGCCACATTTAGTGTATTAAATTGTAACAGGTATTTCTGATTCTTACTCCCCACTTCTCCCTTAAAAAAAAGCATTTGTTAATTTAGCATACCTCCCTCTGTCTGTTCCATGAAACTAATTTCTTTTTTTTTTCATCTTTATTGGAGTATAATTGCTTTACAATGGTGTGTTAGTTTCTGCTTTATAACAAAGTGAATCAGTTATACATATACATATTTTCCCATATTTCTTCCCTCTTGCGTCTCCCTCCCTCCCACCCTCCCTATCCCACCCCCCCAGGTGGTCACAAACCACCAACCTGATCTCCCTGTGCTATGAGGCTACTTCCCACTAGCTATCTACCTTACGTTTGGTAGTGTATATACGTCCATGCCTCTCTCTCGCTTTGTCACAGCTTACCCTTCCCCCTCCCCATATCCTCAAGTCCATTCTCTAGTAGGTCTGTGTCTTTATTCCTGTCTTACCAAGAAGATACTTTGATTTTTATATATGGTGTGAGCTAGGGGTCAAGTTTATTTATTTTTTGTATGGATAGTCAACTGGTTCATCACCATTTATTAAAATGACCATCTTTTCTCCACTGCAAGTCAGTGGCACCTTTATCATAAATTAAGTTTCCATATGTGTACGGGTCTTTTTGTCTACCTTTATACCAATTCCACACTATCTTAATTTCTTTAGATTTATAGTAAGTTTTGATATCCAGTACAGCAAATTGTTGAACTCAGTTCTTCATGATTATCTTAGCTACACTTGGTCCTTTGCATTTCCATTTGAATTTTATAATCAATTTATTAATTCTTTGTGTGTGTGTTTTGTGGTACGCGGGTCTCTCATTGCTGTGACCTCTCCCGTTGTGGAGCACAGGCTCCGGATGCGCAGGCCCAGCGGCCATGGCTCATGGGCCCAGCCGCTCCGCGGCATG